TACTTACAAGAGGGTTTGCTGTCTGCTGCTGAAGTCAGGATGGGTGTACGTGGCTCAGAGGAAAGGTGCATGGAGCTGTGTGGTCAGGCTCCTCTGCCAGCCAGGCCTGGAGGAGTGGGAAGAAGAGCCCCAGCCCCTCTTTGGGCCCCAGAGACAGCAACACTTGTTCAAGGGATGGAGTGCAAAAAGGCTGGCATTCCTACAGCAGTAAGGACAATGGGGAAGGATGAGGAGGCACAGCCATAATCAAATGCAGGCCAGCTGGCCCTCCCCCAGGAAGGGCAGGCACCTCCTTCAAGTGCCAAAGGCTTTGTTTCCTAAGCCACAAAGAACAAAGTGGCCGAGCAGGAGATCCAGAGGAGGAGAGCAGAGGAGAACCGGCTGTTGGGGGCAGATCCACACGCGAGCACAGGTAAGCCACTCCTGGAGAGATGTCAACACAGATGGAGAGGGGTTGGGCAACATTCTGCTTGCTCCAAGTGGAGCTCCAAAGCAGCAGTTCTTCGTGTGCAGCTGAAAGAAGCTGAGGACAGCTGGAAATCACTACTGAGAAACCAGAATCGGCAGAGGCTGATGCCCAGGAGTCCTTTGAGGGAAGGGACCTAAGGGTGGCAGAGAGAATGCCACTGAAGGACTGTCTCACGGAGCAGACCCCACAGAAATCCCAACAAGGGAAATGCTGCCATTTCTCAACCAGCTTCACCCCACTGCCAGTCCCTAACAGTGGGACTCTGAACAGCTTCCCTCAGAAACCAAACACAAGGCAAGAGCCCATGCTGCAAGAGGCTCCCTGGCCAGTGCAGAGCAATGCCCATACTTTTCCTGAGCACCAAAAGAGGCAGCATCTTGCACAACATACTGACAAGCAGGAAAATGCCCCTGGAGCTGCCTCAGGCCCTCCTGTAATGACACAGGCAGTTCAGCGTGATGCTCTGGGCACCACAGCATGAACAGGCTGCATGGGATGTGGGTGCTGAACCGGGTGATGAGCCTCTGCCCTTTCCTGTTGGGTCAGTGCTTTCTCCCTGAGTGACTTGTGGCAGCAGCTTTCTGTGCCTTCACTGCTGACCTTCTGCAGCATTGGTTGTCATCCCAGGGCTGGCAGAGGCTGTGCTGTGTGCTCCAGCTCATTAGACACATCACTGTGAGCTAGGTGGCTGCAGTCCTGACAGGGCACACAGCTCTCACGTGAACCATGCCAAGCCTATGTTCCAGACACTTTGCTGATGGTAAAGAGCATGCAGAGACCTGGATTATAAGAATCATAAAATCTTGGAATGGTTTGGTTTGGAAGGGACCTTAAAGCTCACCCAGTTCCAACTCGCTGCCATGGACACCGACATACTCCACTACAGCAGGTTGCTCCAAGCCCCATCCAATCTGGCCTTGAACACTGCCAGGAATGGGGCAGCCACAGCTTCTCTGGGCACCCTGTGCCAGGGCCTCAGCACCCTCACAGGGAAGAACTTCTTCCCAAGATCTCATTTCAGCGTCCCCTCTGTCAGGTTAAAGCCATTCCCCCTTGTCCTGTCCCTACAGGCCCTTGTCCAAAGCCCCTCTCCAGGTTTCTTGTAGCCCCTTTAGGCACTGGAGCTGCTTTAACGTCTCCCAGAGCCTTCTCTTCTCCAGGCTGAACAAGCCCAGCTCTCTCAGCCTGTCTCCAGAGCAGAGCTCCTCCAGCCCTTCCTTGCAGCATCTCCACGGCTCCTCTGGACTCATTCCAACAGCTCCATGTCCCTCTTGTGTTGCTGCCCCAGAACTGAATGGGTGACTTGGGAAGTAATTTCACTCAATGAAAGCTTGAGAAAGGAAAAAACATGAAGCCTGACAAAGTAAGCAAGGAGAGGGGCCTTGCTCTAGCTCTTCCTGGCAATGATGGTGTGCTATGGCACTATTACTGTGAAGCCAGAGTAAATAATGGGAGAGAACAGGGTACTGGGGACCACCCTCACAGGCATCCTAGAACAAAGCAGACATTACTCCTTTTGGTACCACAGACACACCCTTGCTTGTTCAGCTTTCCAGTTCTCTCCAAACACCATGTGCTGCCAGATCCCAATAGAGTCTTGCAACTGAGTAAACAAAGGACAGCAGTCAGCCCAGGCTTGAAGCCACAGGAAGATGGCAGGTCCCCACAGTGAGTCTGTGGTACTGAGAAACAACCCTCATCCCACAGCCAGAGATGAAGAAGGCAGCTACCCCCAGAACTACTCCTGCCTCAGCCCAGCCACCATCCAGCCCTTGACAGGCACCAAGAGCTCCTGCCACAAAGGAAGTGGGGACAAATGGAAACATCCAGCTCGGTACCAGTCATGGCTTTGGGGGGGGAACCCTGCCAGCCCATGTGCAAGCTCCATGTGGTCTGGCCCAGCTCAGCCTGCTTCATCACAGGGAGCTTAGGCCATCAGGAACTGCCAAGCAATGAAAAAACAGTACAGCCTTGATGATGGACCATATGGGGTTTTTCAGTGCTGTCCCATAGGCCATGACAGCATGCTACAAAATCCTTGCCCCCAACATGCAGCAGAAGGGAGAGCAAAAGAGCCTCCCATTCCTAGTAGGCAGTGAGGTACGTAAGACAAATACCACGATCCCCATGGTGGGTGCTCCCCTCCCTTGGCACATGCTGAGATGTTTGGAGAGATCTGAGTTTGCCAGCTCATTACCATAGTGTATATGGCTTACTCATCCTCAGGCTCCTTCCCCAGATCCTGGGGTCTGGCACGTTGCAGGCTCTTTACAAGAAGGAAAATCAAGGACATTGCTTCGTGTAGACTCCTGCTGTTGATATCCCCTCAGATATTAAGGAAGAGAGAAGGGGTTTAAGGCAGGCACTGACAAGATCACTGCAGAAATGTCAAAGCAGCTCAGCATCAGAACAGAGTGAAAGCAGTTGAAGATAAAACCTCCTGCTTTCCCTGCCTCCCAGACCACACCACTGACTTTGCTTTAGGAAGACAGAAAGCACTGTGGAGATCAAGATCAAAATAAGCAGTACTGAAAGAACTTCCATGCTGCACAGCAATCCCTGCACTCACCCTACGGCTGCAGGATGTTCCCCCCTTCCCTGGTTTTGGTTGGCCACCAGTTCACAGTATATAGGTGTTGTATTTACATCACTAGCATTGTTTATAGTTCTACTGAAACCAGTGAGATCAAAATCCTCCTCCCTACTAAAGCAAGATACCTCCACACCAACACAGTGTGAAGATACCCTGTGCTACCATCATTCAGTTTTCACTGCGCAGTATAAAAGACACAACCATGAGGGATGATGGTGCTGCTGCCACCAAGGAGAGCATCCCTCAGTTGCCATCCCCCAGAATGAAGCTGTATGAGCAGTGCCATGATGCCCTAAGAAAAGATATGGGCCATCTTAAGGGTCTGTGTAACATCTGTGCCCTTGCAAATGGCCCTGGCATTGGAAGGCTTTGAAGCTGTGAAAGGATGCCCATTGCTGTTGAGTCCTGGCTCACAACCCTGGCAGCCCAACAGCTGCTACCACAATGTAGTTCCTGTACCTAAATGGAGAACATCATGTGCTACAGTCCACATTTGTGCTCCAGATTTCCAGCTTTGGTTGAGTGACTTCCTATAGGACCAATGTTTGGCTTGGCCACAGAACTGCCAACATGTGAAGCACAGCTCAGCACCTTTGTGTGCCTCAGTTTGTTGGAAGAAACATGACAAAACCCATCCTTTCTGGGACCCTTCCCTGGATCCTCATGATGGCAAAGGGTATTTCAGGGAGCAGAGCAGCCTCTGAATGTTTGTGCTCAAGCAGAGCACAGGATCTTGCCATTCTCCTACGGCACACTGTGGTACTTTTCTCTCCACTGGGGAAAAAAATTACAGATTCCCACAGCAGGAATCTGGAGGGTCCCCCACCTGCACAGCAAACTGCACAGATGAGCTAGAGTGGGACTGCAGAGCATCACCATAACAAATCAATCCTCACGTCTTGACAGCAACGTTCTCAGCTGCCTTCTCCAGTCTCCTCTCTCCCACAGAATGCTTCTTGATGCTTTCATGTTTAGCTGAATTTCCTCACCCCTCCTCTGAGCATTTCTGGCAGCCAAAACAGCTCAGAGACAGCAACTAAGTGGCACCTACATCTGGTGGGACCTAAGTGGCATCTACAGCTTAACTTTTAGTGCCTATTCTTTGTAGAATTTGAGAACTTCAATACCCAGTGTTTGTACAAATGTGCAATAAATGGAGCACAGGCTCCCTGGCTTTCTGTGCTTGCCAAAGCTTTGTTTGAAAATGCACTTAGAAAATCCTACTGTTCATTCATCTGCAACTTCAGAAAATAAAGGACACCAAATCCAAGTGTAGGTCTTCTGAATGGGTGGGTTTGCATTAAGCCGAACAGGTAAGAAACACAGACATTCAGCACAGTCACCACATGCACCCTCTCCTGCTCCCCAGGTGCCTGGGCCACCCCAGAACCCTTATTCCCTCAGCCACTCCCCTAATACCCCATTCTGGTGCTCCATTTTCTCACACAGGCCTCCACAAGAGAGGAGCTGCAGTATATTTAGGGCTGAGTATCAGGGTGCTACTCCTGATGAGTCAATAGGCTGTTATCAGCATGTAAGGATGTAATATGAGCAAAATGCAGGCAGCCTGCCCTGGCACAGTGGCCAAGACTGGACACGGGCAACCAATCTCTTGGCCCTTGTCATTGGAGCCAGTGCTACCATGATCCTTCTGTCCACTGCAGCCATGAGAGGGACCTAAAAGCTCCAGTACAGGCAGCAGAAGACCTCTGCTCTGAACAGATGGAGACTTTCTTGGGTACACACCCACCCCTTCTTTACTTCCTGACTTGAAAATAATCACTGCAGACACATGAACGTGGGGGGCTTTTGCATGTCACAGGTCCAGCTCTCTGGTGGTGCACACACCGTTTCACACTTTTCATAAACAATCAAACTCTGGACTGTGTCCAAGCAGGCTTTTACACCCTCCTCCATGCAGCAGATGCTTTGTCTTACCTTGTCAAAGAACTCATAGAGCCTGACTATCTCACAGATTTGGTGCCTCTTTTCATCCAGCTGAGTGCAGAACTCCTCCAGTTGATCTCTGTAGGTCTGCAGCTTCACCCTATAGGAATGCACATCCACAGAGAAAAAGTCTTCCCAGTAATCCATCTTCTTTAGTGCTTCCTGCCCCCTTCTGCAATATTCCTGAAAGCAAAATGGGATTTTGTGTATGAGGATAGAGACCTGACAAGGACGGTAGATAATCTTCAAGGTCATTAATAACTAGGGCTAATTAGAATGTTTTTTAAGGTTCAAATCACATGAGCAGGTGTGTACTTGTTTACAGCTGAATTCTGGAGCCCTGACCTCTTTTAGGATTTATAGTAGCCACACAGCAGCTTGTAAAGGCATACGCAAAAATGTCCAGGTCAATTAGGATCAAAAACAAAAAGCGATGTTACAAGCACAACAAGGGAGTTACAAAAAAAAAAAAAAAAAAATCCATCTTCCATCATAGCAGGTATTTTCCTCAAGATTGTAAATTCCATCCACTAAGGCATTAAGCTGGTGGCTTTATCTACAGCAGGAGAGCAGAGAAGCTAAGCAGTGCAAGGAATGACATACACCTTGGTGATGCACACTTTACCAGTGACACCTTATTAGCATTATGGCTTTGGCTGAGTACGCACAAGGCTCCCCACTCAGTCTCTGGAGAGCAAATTTTTCCAATCTAATAACACTTACACTGGCAACAAGATCAAACTCCTTGAACTGCTTCTGTGCTTGAAGCAGCATCTCCAAAGAATCATCCAGGTTGATTGTTTCCTTTAATCGTTTTCTGCCAACATTCTCGATCCAACTGCTGACCTAGGAGAAAAGGGAAAAGCTAAACTATTAGTCAACCCTGTGCTACTCACCAAAGTAGCCTTCATGCGGAAAGAGGAAGGAGCTGCTCTCATAATGCTGGTCATTTAATGACCTGAAAGAATGTGTGTGTACACTTTTCCCCCTATCCTGACATTTCAGTCTGAGCCTCCTGCTAGGAGTTTTTCCACTTCAGGCTCCTGAGAAATCGCAAAGCTGTATTTCTCACTAGCCTTAGGCATAAACAGGGCAAGAAGCTGCTTGGGCTCTGTTTCAGGTGAGCCACAGTCTAATGCAAGCTCTGCAACCTGCAGGCTGGCCTCATATTCCTCTTATTGTTACCCCCAAATGGGACAAAATCTCCCTGCTGCCAGGTTTCCTACTTCACTTCCATTCTCTGACTGGCAGGACAGGAACTACACCAGTGTGAGTGCACTGGTGGCTCTTCCCCTCTGCAGTGTTCCATGGTCCTTTGGGACTCCCAGGTTTTCTGAAGGCAGCTCACCACAAAGCTGTTCAGTAACTGCAGATGCCTCAACAGAGCCCAGCCACAGCTGCAGTTATAAGCCTGTATCCTCAAACATGGGTAGAGAACCTACCAACAAGAGTGTCCTAAAAAGAAAGCAGACACAGGAGGCAAGGCAGGGTAACAGCACCTCCATCAACAGTGGGTTTAAAAACAGGCTAGCAAACTTGTCTGCAATGCTTCAGGCATAGCTGCACCTGAGGGAAGGGACAGACTAATGCCCATGCATCCTGTTTTCCTCTATCGTATGAATCCATATCCCAACTCGACCCCACAATTGAGGATAAACTCTGAATCTTGTGGACTGTGATGATGTCCATGCTCATGAAACAAGCCCACTGGCAAGAGGAGGAGACTGGGGTGGGTTCCCAAGTTGTGAACCATATGGAGAGGGGCACAGGTGCTAGAGCTCCTAGGCAGGCTTAAAAACAGGTGCAACTGATGCCGTCATTGGTGATCTGCAACTAAAGTAAGCTGGGAGCAGTCAGGTTTGCTCAATTCCACCAGAAGTAGTTCAGCTTAAACCAGGGACAGGTTGCAGAGACTGCCTTTGTGCCTTTTTTTTCATTTCTGTTTGGTATAGGAACCTGTGTGCTTAAGTGAGTCTTTACTGGGTTCTTGCATCACACCTCTTGTCCTGAACACATAGGGCATGGCGTCCAAGTGTCTGCCTCCAAATGGGAGATCATTAAATCTCTTGGATCCACCTTGGCCTGTGAAAACAACAGGTAAGCTACAGCCTCCTTTGCAAATCCAGTTCTCTTCAGAGGAGAAGAGCCCAGAATCCTGGAAGAGCAATGGTGAAACTGGTCCTAGTACTGATCTCGGATGCCTACAGGCTTCATTTTACACCTTCACACAGATCAACAGGCTCAGTACCTTTGGTGGAATACAGAGTCAGAGGGTGGCAGCAAGCAGTCACCAGAACTGACAGACAGGCCTTACCTCCTTAAAACACTCTTCCACTTTCTCGAACTCCATCACCAACTCCAGTTCCTGGATGCGTTTGTTTGACAGCATCACCAGACGGTGAACACCCTCATCAACTTGGTTATAAAGCATGCTGGCAGCATCAAGAGCATCTCTGCAAGGAGATATAGGTCTGGTCAGGGGTTTCACATTAGGTCCTTCCCCCAGCACTTCAGTCATCCTCACCATGGGACCAGCAGTGGCCATCTCCATGTGGAGAACAGGAGAGTATAATGCTGCTTCCTGCATATTCCTGGGATTAACCACACTGATCCCAATGCAGACAACCTGGCAGGAAGGACAAGAGCATCTCCTCTCAGTCAGAATCCCTGCAAAATTTACTGTTCTTTCAGATAGGACCTTCAGCTTTTCATGAACACAGATAAGTCCATCAATGGGCTTTCACAAACACAGGGTCAGGCAGTCTCTGTGCCCAAAACCACCATCTGAATTAAATTTAAGTAAGTAAACAAGCAATCACAAGGAAGCAAATCTCTCCTGAGTAACTATATGAAGCACCCGATGCCCCACTCACTGTCAGAATTTCCACCAGCCAAACAAAACCACAGTGTACAGCACCCCAGAGCCAAGGGAAATCAAATTTTACAGTTTTGTGCTGGAAAGATTCACAGACAGAGCTCCCTGTCTTCCACAGGCAGATATGTTGACCAAAGACCTGCAGGCAACAACACCACAGTCAGTCTGGCCACAAGCAGAAGGTAACATCCTCTGCACAGAGGCAGGGATGGAGGAGTTCAGGCTGGAGCCCAGGGCCCTTGGGTGCTGGAGCCAAGGAATTTACTAATACCCATCATCTTGCCATCTTTCAGCTGTGTGCAACACCTCTTCAGCACAAGCTCAGGTGAATTACAGACAGGATCCAGGACAGAATAGCATCCAAGCTTATTCTTTCTGTCTCTATTTCTTCTACTTCTAGACTTCTCTTCCTTTTACAAGTAGTAAAATCCCTTTTACAAGGACTCAACAGATACCTACAACAAAGTCTTACAGCCTCCTTCAGCTGTGCTTTACACTGGCACACTCAGCAGCCTGAGCATCTCCTGCACTCGCTCTAGGCCAGCTTTCATTCTCCCACGGTCTTACAACCTTCTGAGAGCATAGCTTTTTTACCATGTTATTTAAGTTATCCAAAGCACTTGTGAAACAGTGAGCTAATAAAACTCTGAAAGCTTTGTTAATAGAAATTAATACAAGCAATTCAGCATACACATTTATTTGTGTCTTGGGCAATCCTGAACCTATGAAATGCATTTTAAAAAAAGCATTGAGTGACAACCATTCTGTAGGTTTTAGATAGTACTTAACTGACATAAGGTAGTGCAAAGGATCTGGACAACTAGGTCTGCATAGCAGAAACCCACAGGATTTTTCCATTCAGAATTCCACTCAGTGCGCAACAGCCTCAAAACAGGCTTCTCAAAACTCAGGCTCTTAGACACTTTTGTTTTTCCTCTTCAAAATGCCATCAGACTGAATTAATTTCTTCAAAGAGCAGCCAAAAATAACCAAATGGACTATGATCAGTGCTACTGCAGTGCAGAGGAGGCAGGTTCTCTACAGAGAATCCGCAAGCTTTAGTGGAAAGATCGCAGCTGTAATGCTGGTTCCGTTTCCCAAAAGCCCCATAAACAAACAGTGCTGATAGGAGCCTTCTGTTTTGTAATACTTTCCTAGGGACAGACCCAGATCCAACCCAGGAGCTTCCAGCAGCAGAGCCATGACCACTGGCCAGGCTAAGCACTGGGAAGTGTATTTCTAGCGCAGGTTGTGCAGGCCAGTTCCCGTCAGCAGCAGTGACACAGCTAGGCCAGTTAATGAGAAACAGTTAGGAAGATGGCTGGAAGTTGGCAACAATGTTCCTGCTGGTGGATTTTGCGCAGCACAGCATAGCTGTAAGGTTTCTGCATGAGGCTCTAGCACAATGATGGCCAGACAGCAGACACCCTTCGGTGGTACTCCCCTGAGTCTGAAGTCTCTGCTGGCTTGAATGCTCTCATCAATGCAAGAAAGTACATGGATACAATAAAGCCTCTTTCTCCCACTGGCACAGGCAAGCAAGCACCTGTAACTCTGCAGGCTGTTACATGCAAACATCTGAAATTATCCTGTTGTGAGGCAGGATATTTTCCAACCTTTCTCTGAGCTTCCATGCAAATCACTTTGGTGAGCACTATCAAAGGAGTAGCATCACATCAACAAGCTAGACTGACCTACTAGACCTTTCTGTAATGAAAGTCCTTATGTCCACCCAAATTCATGATAGAGACAGCACGCATGGTTTCAATGCTTAACAAGATATTACAAGATGATAACCTCATGGTCTAGCAACTTGAAACACAAGTTCCAGCTCCTGCACTGGCTGACCTAGCACAGAGTGTGATCTGACATACGGGAGCAAGCCAGGGAGTCCCACTCTTTTCCACGCCGGAAGGAGGAAACAGGCCCCCAGTTTTCTCAAATTTGAGTAGTTTTCCTTGAAAGAAATCAATCATAGCCTGGGCTGCAAAGCTCTAAATCCTACAGCTTCCCACATAACAGTCAGCACATTTCCCAGCATCACAAAACCGGCTTTCCTGAAAAAACCACTACAGCTAGGGGGTATAAAAATCACCCTCAAGGCAAAGGGGTAGGAAGCAATTACAAGCCATGTTTTAACTATTTTCTTACAAACAGAAATAGGCCTATCACAAGCTCACTGTGCAGAGGTGAATTCACTGTGTCACTGTGGACACTGTGGGAAATGCACCATCCCTGGAGATACTCAAGACCAGGCTGGATGTGGTTCTGGGCAACCTAATCTAGTTGAAGATGTCCCTGCTCATTGCAAGGAGGGGGGTGGACTAGGTGAGCTTTGAAGGTCCCTTCCAACCCAGACCATTCTATGACTCTATGACAAGGCCAGTTTGCTGGAGCACGCTTGAGGCCAGCACTGGCCTGAATGACCAGCAAACCACTCCAAGTACTCAGTCATCTTCCCCTATCTCAGCTGACTCAATGGCACGCAAAGTGACTCCCTGGGGCTGAATGCACACATGAAAAGCCTTGGCTTGACTGAGCCACAGGCATCTCAAACTGATCTAGAGACAGTTGAGGATGTGTTCAGGAGTTTTATAATATAAACAGGGACTGGACAGAGAATTCAGTTCAGAGGGCTGGAAGTTAGCTCTTGGTTTATCTGGAAGCTGGACTGTTAAGGGTATATATCATCCAAAATCACTTACTCTTGCTATTTAAGTCATTTTGTTTTCTGTGAATGCTTGCAGAAAGCTCTTGATACACTTTGCAGGGCACAATCCAACACCCTACAGCTGCCCCTTCCCTTGGTCCTGTCCATGCCTTGCTGAGTGACTGCACATAGGCTGACCATAGAAAAACTGTTTCCAAACAGCTCCTAAGAGCTCCTCTGGCTCAGAGCACCAGAGGAACTTCAGGTTTGGCCTTACACCATCTCTCTTCCTCCTCTTTCTTCTCCACCAAGTCCCTTCAGCATCCCAGTTCTCTGTTTCAAGGTCCAGCCGCACTGTTTTCACATGCTCTGCCCTGCTTGGGAGGCATTCATTAAAAACCTCAGCGTCCAGTTGTTGGTCTTCTGTTGCATCTTCATTCATACGTTGTCAGTTCCTGACAGTTCACTTTTACCAGCCTGACAGGCTTGCTCACTAACTTCCATCTTTTACTCTCTTACACAGAGGAAAATATGATCCTTTCTGCCCTGTAGTATAAAGTAGGTAGGCAAACTCAGCCAAACAAAGAAACCACTCACAGTCCATGGGAAAGTTTGTTTCTTCAATTCACTTGGGCACTTCCAGTGCTCACTGGACATTAAGCATGTTCTCCCAAATCTCTGTGCAGCTGTTTACCTATTTACATATACCCATCCATATCTTAAAAACCTTCTTTCTAAATCATTTCAGTATACTAGTAAGCTCAACAATATCCTGCAACAGGGAGTTGCATAGGAAAGTGATACCTTGTATTGAGAACTGTTTCTTTTTCAGAATCACTTTGGAGTTTTTCATTCCAGTCCCTTCATTATCTTTGAGGCAGCTTGGAGGAAACAAACCAAATACTGAAAATTTAGTTGAAGAAGCAAAACCTACTTCCATCCTGCCACACAAAGGGAAGCACCTGGCTGTTATGAACCTTAAAGAGGTTTATTATTAGTGGCTGCACAACTCTGTAAAAAAAAAGTTTTAAGTCAGTGGAAAGTCTTGTCTAAGCTTGGATGAGTTTGGATGCATTGCAGTTCCCCTGCACATGTGAGTATGGTAATAATAGTCTTTCACTACATTCTTCCACAGTCAAATCATCAAAGTAATTTTGCAATAGTGCAGAGTCAATATAATTTATAGCAAAAAAAAGGAGTAGCTTGATGTCAGTTTATGTCTCTCCAAATCCTGTTTTCATTGGGCAATTATCGTTTCAGTGGAAAAGGTTTCAAATGTCTTCAGTTTTTTGGAGAAGTGCCAAGCTCTTCTATAATGGCAGGGTAATTTTAAACCTATAATTTAGAAAGACCATTTCTGGCTGAATCCATCCTCCAAAAAAAGTTAGCCTTGGAAAGTTACACTTTAGTTTTCAAAGCAAAATAGAACAAGAAAAGCACACAGAGAAAATGAACAGGATTTGGCTAGTAAGAGATTAGAAGGATGGTTTAATCTAAGGACACAAATGGAAATCAAAGTGTCTTCTCTGGCAGTATTCAAGTCCAGGTTGAATGGGGCTTGGAGCAACCTGGTCTAGTGGAAGATGTCCCTGCCCATGGCAGGGGTTTGGAAATGGATGAGCTTTAAGGTCCCTTCCAGCCCAAACCTTCTGTGATTTTATGATCATCTGTGCTGACACCATGGCTACATAATCACTGAAGCACCCTGAGCAATGCTCCAGGAATAAATCCTCCCAGCTCTGCAGGGAAAGTCCTGTGTGCCTCAGGGCTGTTTTGCAGGAAGAGAAACACAATTATTGCAACTAATGCATATTGGTAGCAACCTACATAACTGCCATATTTGTAATGATCCCATTAAAGGAAGTCAGCCTCAAATGCACATTCCAGCTCTACAAGATCAAAACTTCACATGCAGCTGGGATAAGAAT